CTGCATCTACTTCCTTATTATCTCCCTTTCATCTTTGGCATTGTCGTTTAGGGCATATTTCTGTTAATCGCTTACGGTCTTTGGTTTCTAGTGGACAGTTGGGTCATGTAATTCCTGATAATTTTGATTGTATCCCCTGTCAACTTGCCAAACAACCTGTTTTATCATTTAATAAAAGTACGTCTGTTTCCCTTGCACCTTTTGATCTTATACATTCGGATATTTGGGGACCCTCCCCTACTACTACTATGGGGGGATCCCGCTATTTTGTTGTTTTTATTGATGATTTTTCCCGGTTTACTTGGCTTTTTCTCATGAAAAAATAGGTCTGAACTTAAACACATTTATTATAGGTTTGCCCAAATGGTCCACACCCAATTCTCCAAAACCATCAAAATTTTTCGCTCTGACAATGCTATGGAATATCGGGATTCCGATTTCCTTTCCTTTCTTCAACATCATGGTACACTGCCTCATCGATCTTGTGCTGGCACATCCCAGCAAAATGGCCGCGCTGAACGGAAACATAGGCACATTCTTGACACTACTCGCGCTCTACTTCTCTCTTCTTCCTGCCCTGAATACTTTTGGGGGGAAGCTGCCCTCACTGCTGTTTACACTATCAACTGTGCTCCTTCCCCTGTCATCCATAATCAAACTCCCTTTGAACGTCTGCATGGCACTCCCCCTCCTTACGCCAATCTCCGGGTTTTTGGCTCTGCCTTCTTTGTTCTACTTCAATCCCATGAACACACCAAGCTTGAACCTCGTTCTCGTCTTTGTTGTTTTCTTGGGTATGGGATTGAACATAAAGGCTTTCGTTGTTGGGATCCTCTCTCTCAACATCTTCGTATCTCCCGCCATGTCGTTTTCTGGGAGCACCAAATGTTTTCCTCGCTATCCTCCTTTCACTTACCCGCACTTTCCACTACTGTACTGTTTACTAATCCTTCCATAGATCTTTTCTCTGCTGATTTTGATACAGGTTCCTCCTTCATCGAGACGCCCTTGCTCACTCCTGATCCTGTTCAGCCTGCTCTTCCTGAAGGTCTACCTCTTATTGCCACACCTCCTTCTCCACCAGTTCTTCCTCCCACCGATCCTCCTACGGGTCGACCACGCCGGGTAACTCAACCTCCTCTCCATCTTCGTGATTATATTGTTGGATCTGCTGCCTTCTCTACTTATGAACCTACCTCCTATCGTGAGGCTTGTACTAATCCTCTTTGGCAGCAAGCTATGACTGATGAACTCCAGGCCTTGGACAAAGCTCATACTTGGGATCTTGTTGATCTTCCTCCTAGCAAGACTGCCATTGGCTGCAAATGGGTTTACAAAATCAAAACACATTCTGATGGCTCTATTGAACGCTAAAAAGCTCGTCTTGTTGCCAAAGGTTTCAACCAGGAATATGGTATTGCTTATGAGGAGACATTCTCTCCTGTTGCTCGGCTCACCTCTGTTCGCAGTTTACTTGCTGTTGCTGCTGCTCGCCACTGGGGGCTCTTTCAGATGGATGTCAAAAATGCTTTCCTCAATGGTCATCTTCTTGAGGAGGTCTACATGCAACCTCCACCTGGGTCCACTTTTCCCCCTCATCAGGTTTGCAAACTCTAGCGTGCTCTCTATGGCCTCAAGCAAGCACCTCGTGCTTGGTTTGCTACGTTCAGTTCTACCATTAATGACTTCGGGTTCACCTCTAGCTCCTATGACTCTGCTCTTTTCATACGGACTACTTCTCATGGTACCACTCTTCTTCTTCTGTATGTGGATGATATGATTATCACTGGTAATGATGAAGCTGGTATTCTCCACCTCAAACAGTTCCTCCACCGCCAGTTTGAGATGAACGACCTTGGTACTCTTAACTACTTCTTGGGCCTTGAAGTCTCTCATGACTCTACTGGTTCCTATTTATCCCAGGCCAAATATACATCTGATCTTCTGGCTCGTGCTGGTCTTACTGATTGCAAAACTACCTCTACTCCAGTTGATCCTCAGATACGTCTCACTCCTCTTGATGGGCCTCTTCTCTCTGATGCTACTCTTTATCGCCAACTCGTCGGCAGCCTTGTCTATCTCACAGTAACTCGTCCTGACATTGCCTATGCTGTTCACATTGTCAGTCAGTACATGTCAGCTCCTCGCACTCCCCACTATACTACTCTACTCCGCATCCTTCGTTACCTCAAAGGCACTCTGTTCCATGGCCTTCACTTCTCTGCTTCCTCCTCTCTTGAACTGCGTGCCTTTTCCGATGCTGATTGGGCTGGGGATCCTACGGATCGACGCTCCACCACGGGATTCTGCTTCTTCTTAGGGGATTCTCTTCTTGCTTGGCGTAGCAAAAAACAATCCCTCACTGCCCGCTCTAGCACCGAAGCTGAATATCGAGCTCTTGCTGATACTACTCAGGAACTTCTCTGGCTTCGCTGGCTCCTTGCTGATATGGGTGTTTCTTCTTCTGATTCTACCCCTCTCTATTGTGACAATCAGAGTGCCATTCAGATTGCTCACAATGATGTTTTTCATGATCGCACCAAACATATTGAGATTGATT